TAGAAAGGTGAGTTCCAATAGATAAGAAATAATCCAATTACTCGTTAATGTTTACTTGTTTATATAGTTAACAAATATCGTATACTCACCTGTGGTACCAAGTTTAGCTTTCAGATGAATGAAGCCTATTTATGTGTAGTTAATAACTAATTATTCAAAAGCATTCGACTGTTAGACAAACTTGATTTAAACTAAAACTATGTATATAAATTCAATGTAATATAGTATACATGCCACGTGGTCTCAAATTGTTTCAAGGTGACATAAATTGTTAATTATTCTAGGTAAAGCCTCGACGTGAAGTAATATGATTTTCTTGTTTAATAAGTTGAGTGGAAAGTTCCCAGCAAAGTGAAATAACCTATGTGTGCAATATTTGGTAATATTAGCAAAATTAATAAAGTAAAATTAATTTGAGATGAGATCTGGTATGTTTACGATCAATAATTAATAATATGGTTTTTATTTTTTAATACGTTAAATCGTGGAAAATTCACAGCAAAATAGACGATATTTGATAATATTATTAAAATTAATTTGAGAAGATATCGTGGTATACTTACAGTCCATAATCAATAATAATATGATTTTCTTCTTAAAGGAGCTAAATGTTTATCCTTTTAATCTAGAAATGGACACAAGTGGGTCTCAATGCATATAAAAATGTAATATTTTTGTATATAAACTGATTTACATTCAATCGTTTCCGTTACATACTGCGAAATACGCGAAGAGTATGGAATGGCAGTCTTTGACGTCTGGTTTTACCAGTGTACATCGTTAGTATACTCCTGGGGGATATGTTTAGCCTCGTTCATCTAGTCCTTTCATTACAAATTGTCATTGTGTCGTAAATATTTGATATCAGAAGCCCACCCTTTTACGGTAAGATAACAACATCAATGTTGATTTGATTTGTCCAAATGGTAAAAACCATGTATGACTTATAGTTGAATGCACACCCTTAACCAGCTGGGGGAAGTGCTTAAGTGGGGCGGGGTTGGTGTGGGGGCAGTGCTCCACAAAAAAATAAAATCAGCGGTTGCCAGGCAGGATACGCCCACATTTTCGAGAGATGGATAGAGAACAAGCTAAAAAGGAAGTGATTTTTTCTACAATCAAGAGCAATAATTCAGAAAATTACAACTCGATATGCGCAAATATCGAAAGGAACCGAGATCTTTGGGTTATCAACTTACATTTCAAGTTTGAACCAAATCGGATAAAAATTGTGGCCTCTACAGTGTTCACAAGCTAAAAACGTGATTTTTCGTACAATCAGGGGCCATAATCCATGAAGTTACAGTCCGATACATGCCAATATTGAAAGGAACCGAGATCTGAGGTTGATAAACCTATATTTCAAGTTTCATTGAAATCGGATAAAAATTGTGACCTGTAGACCGTTCACAAACAATTGTGGACGGACGTCCGGACGGACGGACGTCCAGACGGACGGGCGGACAGGGGCGACGACAATATACGTCCACATGAAAATGTGGGCGTATAAAAATGATTTGCGCACCCCCCCCCCCTCGCTAAAAAAAAACCATATCCGACCATAGTTCTAATATACCTAACAGCAGTGTTACAACCCCTATTGTAATATCACCCCTATCAACCGCTATTGTAATATCAACCCCTCTTGTAATATCAACCCTATCAACCCCTATTTTAATATCAACCCCTATTTTAATATCAAACCCTATTGTAATATCAACACCTATTGTAATATCAACCCCTATTGTAATAACCACTCCTATTGTAATAAATATAATAATTGTTATAAAATATTACTTAACCCCTATTGTAATAATCGTAATTAATGTATTTTACCATACAATAAATTCGACATCTAAATTTAAAAGTCAATGGATTTTAATAACCATTTGAATATCAATATATATATATGAGTAATGGTGTGCGTTTATACTGAATATAATATTATATAACAACACAAACGATGTATGAATTACATATTATTGGTTATGTTCTGATATATATCTGCCCTATATTTTACACTGACTTGTCCAATGGCTCACTTCCGTGGGCCCCTGTCTTGTCATTATGTTCATTGACAGACCCCTACCCACTAAATAGTTCCACTGCCCCACCATAGCCTATCTGTAAAAAATGATTCATATCAAATGTTAAAATAAAACTTTCCACGTTTGATATCAAGTTATGACATAGCATCTACTAGTTGGTAGGATTACCATGATATAAACATGATATATATACTTCCTTGTATATCACTTGTTATAACATGTATAAAATGATATGGGGTTTAACGTCCAATTGTTCTGCTCAGATGGGTTTTACATGCAAGCAAATGTGTACATGGGACCTCTGCAAAGGCCGGGATATAACAGTTGTGTACACGAGACCTCGGTTTTTTGCCTCTCGCACCCCCCCCCCCCAACCCCCACATCACTGACAAGGAGGAAACACACTCGAAAATCCAGAGGATCAAACAATTGTGTACACGGGACCTCGGGTTTTCGTCCAACCCGAACGATCTACGTCGTCCCTTGCCAGACTCACCCCCTCACCCTCCCTACACCACTGACAAGGGGGGGGGGGGGACACTCGAAAATCCAGAGGAACTTTCTCGGCCAACGGAGGAATGTAGTGCTGTTCGATCTTTCAGCTTGACGTTGCCTTCACTTCCGTGATGAACATCATAACTACAGTTCAGATTTTGTTTCTGTATGTTTTTTTATTTGTATAAAAAAAACTTTTAGCATTAGTCACAAATCTTCTTCATAAATGGCTGTTATGACAGGAAGTGTGAGTTCTGCCAAATGTTATCCCACACTCAATTTTATATTACCCACACCTTAATTCGTTTGCGCCATCGCCTGATCATGGTCCCAGTTTACAAATATGGAATAGGCATACCCCCTACGCTGCACCCTGGGAGGGACTTATTACTAAATTTGTTCAACAGATACATTTCTTTCTTGACCATGACGATGGCATATGACAAATGTGTTTATTAACCAATAGTACAATTCATGTAGATTTCTAATATTTCAGATGTTATTTTGCTTGAATCTATAAACAACTATTAGTCCAGGCCATAATATTATTACAAGGGTCAAACACAGGAACTCCAATGTAATGAGCAAACGTCTTACTCATTGAGCCACGGTGGCTCCCGATCAGGGCTTGGATCCAGCCCCTACTCCAAACAGATAGTAACAAGATAGCCCCCCCCCCCCACATTTCACACCGACAATTTTAATTCAAACACACTTTAATAACGAACATTCAATACGTTACACTTACTTGTAAACCTGTGACGGTAAATCTCATTGATCTTTGGGGTATATTCTATGCTCGGAATAACTTGAGGTCTGAAAGTCGGGACCGGCTTTGGATATATACAGGGAAATTCGGGGCTATTCTTCTGAAAGTTTTTCTTTAAACCTGCAATGGGTTATTCTTCCAGGGTAGGTTTTATTTCCAGAAGACAACACGATATAAGATTTTCCTTGCGGGAATTCTGGGATATTCTCATCTTGCGTACATGGCAACATAGACGGTTTATAAGCAAGATAAAGTCCTCGACTTCGGTTATGCTGGGGAAGAAAGACTTCAGAATAAGATCTAGGCCTCGGTTTTTCTTTTTCTCGGGTTATTTACTCCAGTCTTTCTTTCCCCAGCATAACCCCAGTCTTGTGCTTCCTACATGTAATTGATAAATATTTTATGAAATGTAATCCTTCAAGTTAGAGATAAAGCAAATGTTGAGATACGACTGGTATTGTTTTTAACAATTGACAAGTTACTTCAAGAAAACTGAGGTCAGTCGACGTAGCAATCGTTTTAATCCTATCGAAACGTATCCGAACGTATCTTCACGTACCAGGTCGTAGACACAATAGGGACAATCCCATCGCAACGCATCCCACGATAATGGGGAACCTAGCATTAATAAATCCATCGCAGTGCAATGCATGCGAAAGTAACTCTTGATACTCTACACGCAGGACCTCTTCGCATTCTTTAAATAACCATTCTTCTGAACCCACGTAGTGACTGTAATCCATAGAATTGTGATGTGATACCAAGTTACAGGTAATTACAGACAATACAGATCCCCCACCCACTCATCTCCTGCAGGTGTTGATACCATGTAACAGGTAATTACAGACAATACAGAACACGCACCCACTGATCTCCTGTAGGTGTCTGGAAATTGTGACACCGGGCCATGGTGCCTTAAGTGATTAAGAAGCTGGGTCGCTAATCAAAAAATCCTGGTTTTTCTGTGATTTCTCGATGTTGGTCTTTCAGGACGGAGGGCCCTACAAGGATCGGTGTTCTTAGTGAAAAGGTTCTCGATGTAGGTCTTTCAGGACGGAGAGAGAGAGAGAGGGGGGGGGGGGTAACGTACAGTCGACACAAACTAGGTCATTTCGGGACTAACACGTGGTTCTATATTATTTTAATAATTCGCTTGCGCGTAGGGGTCTTTAGCAGTGGGAGGAAACCGGAGTACCCGGAGAAAACCCACGAGGTTGGACAGGCTACTATAACCAAGCATTCCAATATGATTCTTGACAGATATTTTTATTATAGTGTTCATTCAGAAATAATTCTAAGAACCAAATATATTATAGTTTGTAACAGCTATAGTCAGACTGGGACACTAATCTCCGACAATATAATTAAATGTATTCATTGTTTTAATCTTGATCTTTTATCAACATAAGTATTATTGTATAGTTGTTGAATAGCATTAAGTAGACTCATTGTTTTTATTTACCATTTAATTAACTTTTTAATTTATATTGATTTTAAATGTTGTTGCTGGTAAAATAAATTCATATCCAGATTACACAGTTGTTCCTGATTTTATGGAAGTAGGTTACACTACCCTATTCATTGTCACCTACAAGCAGGAATTCAAAACCAAGTCACTTGACTCAATGGCAGATCTTATGATCCAACGCCATCATGACTATTATTTCATGTGAAATTTAACCCTAGATTTAACTTGAACAAGGATGTGTATTGTTTATACGGATGTTATAAATTAGTTTAGTAGTTCATACATCATGGCCAGTCTTGTATATGTTCTAATATTTGTGATAATTTGTAAGTTCACTCAATGTAAAGTAGGTAAGTAATATTAGTTCTATCTTTGTGCTCAATGAAATTAGAAATAAATTGAAGGGTTGAAGGGGGGGGGGAGGTGGATTGGATGACCGAATGGCTAGCACATGCGCGGTGTATCATAAGGTCTGTCACCGAGTCAACTTGCGTGGTTTCGACTCCCGGTTGTACGTGACAAGGAGTAGGGTCGCCTATCCAACCTCGTCGGTTTTCTCCGGGTACTCTGGTTTCCTTTCACTGCTAAAGACCCCTACGCGCAACCGAATTATTGAAATAAAACTGAACTATGTGTTAGTCCCGAAACGAGATCGTCTCTCTCTCTCTCTCTCTCTCTCTCTCTTTCTCTCTCTCTCTCTGCAATCACATCTCTGCAATAAGCATATTATATGTTTAAGCACTCAGTCATCCGACACTCATTTTTCACATAATTATTGTATCGCAATTTGTATCGGGCTATTAAACGGATGTGTTTCCATGGCAACCGATATGTCTTATTTACAAACCTTCGTAAATAAAAATCAATTTTTGAAATATTCCCCGAGATTTATCCATTTAGTAAAAGGCGTGATTTCCCTGGTAGGATGTAAAACGTGAAGTAAAGATATCTTAAGTATTTCCTGAGATATTCAAAATTAGAATTGAGTATCAGAATCTACGAACAATTATCAATTCTTTAATAACAACAAGAAGAGCAGTGCAGCATAGCAACTGGTCTATAACATCAAGAGAAGTGCAGCATGGCATCTGGTCTATTTAAAAAAACCCAGCATCACCAAAGCCAGCGAAACGTCAAAAACTATTCTTTGCTGCATTTGATTTAATCCATATTTGTTTATTTTTGTTATACGAAAACGAATCCAAAGCACTGACTATTTCAATCAATCAGAGAGAGAGAGAAGGGGGGGGGGGGCAGGCAGGCATGCAGACAGAGATTGAGCACGGCCTTGCGGGGGATAAAGTCCACTCAAGGTCAATTTGGAACGGTAAATACAGTGCAATTTTATTTCAATAATTCGTTTACACGTAGATGCGTTTAAGTATAGGAGGAAACGGGAGCACGAAGAGAAGCCCAACCCGCTTGATCACATGTCTCTGAGTATTAAACCATCACCCCTACCCCCGTGAAGTGAAATAGAAAAACGTTATTTGTTTACCAACGGAAGACATATGCCAGTACAGTAATTCATGCTTTAGATTCATGCCTGCTCGTTATCAAGTTTATTCAAAACCAAGCACTTAGTTAATATGTTTTCTCGTTTTCAGAAACAATGATTCCTCATATTCTCTTTCCATAAACTGTGAATGTTTTCCTTTTTTTCTAATTTCAGAACTAACTGGATTTGATTTTGCATATGAAGGCGAGAAATATGTTTTAACATGTCATATCGACACTACTGAGCGTAATTATGAAACAAAATATAACTGGTATAGAAATAATGAACTGGTCGCCCGAACCGATTCTTCCCCGGAAGAATTAAACTGTAAAATATTTAATATTAGTCAACGTTCAAGATATGAATTAAATTGTAAACAACATCAGCTGATCATTAAATCTGTTGACCAGACTAAAGATAGTGGCGTTCAGTGGAGTTGTAAACACCTTGGATATGATACAGACCGGTTTCCAGATTATACCAGTACGTTTGTGGTAAAAACAGGCAGTACGTAATTATTCATTATAAATGCAATTATGACTTAAACATTTGTTATTAATTACATTGATCGTGTAAAACGTGCGAAATGGAATCAGGTGTCACCTATGTTTGTGTGTGTGTGTGTGTGGGGGGGGGGGGCGAATGGCCTAACGCGTGCGCTTTCGAACCGACACTTGTAGGATCACCTGTCAAACCACATGTTTGTTCCAAAATGACCTTCCAACCTCGTGGGTTTTCTCGGGGTCCTCCGGTTTCCTCCCACTGCTAAAGACCCTTACGTGCAAAGGGATTATTGAAATAAAATTGAACCATATATTAGTCCCAGGATGACCTAGTTTGTGTCGAGTGGACGTTAAACCCATCTCTCTCTCTCTCTCTCTGTCTCCCTCCCTCTCTCTCCATCTCTGTCTCTCTCTTTCTCTCTCTCTCTATACATACTTAACATTTGTTTAGAATAATGATCACTTGTCTGGTGGTTATTATGTGAAGTATATGTCTGTCCGCAATTTTAATGAACTAATTACCTTCACAATGATTAATGAACTGATGTTATTCATGACCACGTCTTCGTCGGTGATTCCGAATCCCGGGTTGTACGTGACAAGGAGAAGGGTCGCCTGTCCAACCTCGTGGGTTTTCTCCGGGTCCTCCGGTTTCCTCCCACTGCTAAAGACCGCTAGGCGCAAGCGAATTATTAAAATAAAATTAAACCATATGTTAGTCCCTAAATGACATGGTTTGTGTCGATTGGACATTAAACCTTTCTCTCTCTCTCTCTCTCTCTCTCTCTCTCTCTCTCTCTCGTCGGCGATTGGTCTTCTGACACTATTAACTTATTTATTCCAGAAGGTAAACGGTCAGATATGTTTGGTTTGAAATTGCTTTAATTTTCAGTATCAGTACCTGTTAAAAATGTATCTATCAGCTTTAAATCAACAATCTATCGACTTACCAACGACACAATTCAAATCAAAAATGGTGAAGTTTTACGAATAAGGTGTGAACCTAGTAAGGGCGCCTCGCCAGCACCAAACATTCGTTTGTATAAAAATGATGTTGATATACAACGTACAACAGGTTATTACCTGGAGACAAATTTAACCGTTACCATGGAGATGGATGAGTCACAATTATACTGTAAAGCTAATAACAGTAAACAAAATGAAAGTTCAACAATTATAAAGTTACAAGTATTAGGTAAGTTTCTTGTAGATAAGATTTGTTTGTAAATGTCTTGCAGACCACATTTATTGGGTGGTTAGTATCCGAATTATATGAAAATGTGAACCACATAATATATAGTACACACGTTGTTCAACAAGGCGGCCATTAATTAAAGCAGACATCTATTTCCAAAGTAGATAGTTATCTGTGTGCAGAACGACGTAGATGTAACTGTAGTAATATGATGCTTTGAGGACTCCATTTTGAAATATGATTGATTGATGTCGTGTTTTTGGAATATACGAGACATGCATAATGTCTTCTAGTTCGCAAGTAGAAAACACAACTCGTAACGAAATCCAATCAGTATTTTGGTTTTTTTCAACAACATACAAAAAAGTGGACATTCAAAATGGCGAAAAGGGACGGAAAACAACAGTAGGACGTTAAATCCCATTTCATTCCATTTAATTAGTGAGTCGACTCCCATAATGTGACAAGATTTAAAGCTGCATTAAAGGGGCTAAATCGCTAATATTTAAGATCTAGAAATTGACACAAATGGGTCGCAACGCATATAATAATGTAATATTTATTTATTTAAACTGATTTACATTCAATCGTTTCTGTTTTACTGTAATTTCTAATCAGTTATGTTCGGCGAAATACGCCAGAAGTCTCAATCGAATGGCAATCTCTGGCGTCTGGTTATTCCAGTCTACACCGATAATATTTATTGCTCATGCTCTCCGGATAAGAATATGACATCAACGCTTGACATGACTTGTGGAATTTGCCTTGCCTAGTTTTTGGAGTCCCTTATTACAAATAGCGCTTAAACGCACCATGGTACACGAATCGTGTACCAATCGTAAAGTGTTTATTTTGTCTTAAGTATTGGATATCAGAAGTCCATCTTTTCCCTGTAAGATCACAACATCAATTTTGATTTAAATTGACAAATAATTCGTGGTTTCAATGTCAAAGATTTTGGACGATATTGAGTTAGAGACTGAGCTACTTTAAGTAAGAGCTGAATCCGTCTGTGACAGGTATTAATATTTCGACAAACTAGGTCATTTCGGGACTAACATATGGTTCAATTTTATTTCAATAATTGGTTTGTGTGTAGGGGTCTTTAACAACGGGAGGAAACCGGAGAACCCACGAGGTTGAACAGACGACCCTACTCCTTGTCACGAAACCACGCCAATGACAGACCTTATGATACAATGCGCACGGGTTAACCATTGTCCCCCTCCCCCACTTATCTCGACTATCTCGACAAAACTTTTTACGCCTCTACTTTCGCCTAGATTAAAGTCATTTGACAGAAATGTTCAATATATTACAGTAATAACAGTCAGTTGTTGATCATCGCTTACCCATGTCCAAACTATGAACTTATTGTTTGGCTCCGCGATATCACCCTAGGTAGAAATGAAATGAAATGAAATAGGGTTTAACCGCCTACAGTTCTGCTCCGAACTGGGCTGATGAAGACGGGCATACGTCATACAGTGAGCTATGGGGGAAATTTTGCCCGGACAGCGGCACTACGGCCTACTCTTAAATCGAAATCCAACTGTCAAGGGATCTTTTACGTGCACACCAATGTGTACACGGGACCTCGTTTTTTCGCCCCATCCGAACGACTAGACAGCTGTCCTTGTAAGACCCTCCATCCTGCATCACTGACAAGGGTGATCCACGCTGGAAAATCTGGATGAACTTTCTCGGCCAATGCATGGATCGAACACCCGACATCCAGGCTAGCGAGCCAGCGTCTTACCCACTTAGCCACCGTGACCCCCCACCCTAGGTAGAAGCAGGCGTTAAACCTCACTGACTGATTGACTGACTGACTGACTCTAAATCTTACATGACATGTAATATGTGGTGGTCGTAGGCCATTAAAATTGACAACATGAGTAAACACGGATCTTAAAACCCAGTAAGTCAAGTACAGGAAATACATGCCAGGAAATGTACAAGTTTTAATGTAGCTAAGTCTCTAACTCAAAGTCTTTGACATTGAAAACACGAATTATTTGTCAATTTAAATCAACATTGATATTGTGATCTTAGCGGGAAAATATGGGCTTCTGATATCCAATATTTAAGACAAAATAATCATATAACGATTGGTACAATAATGCTTTTCAGCGCTACTTGTAACAAGGGACTCGAAGAACGAGGCTAGACATATTCCACAAGTCATTCTTATCTGGAGAGCATGTACAATAAATAATATCGGTGTAGATTGGAATAATCAGACGCTAGAGATTGCCATTCGATTGAGAATTCTGGCGTATTCTGCCGAACATAGCTGATTAGAAATTACAATAAAAACAGAAACGATCGAATGTAAATCAGTTTATATACATTCATATTACATTATTAAATGCGTTGCGACTGACTCTTTTGTGTAAATTTCTAGGTCCCAAATATTAGCGATGTAGCTCCTTTAAGTTTAAAATCCCACGTTTACCCCTATTATATCTGTCGTATGTAACTCTTGTTAATAAACAAATTTTGAAAATCTATTGTTACTAAAATATGATAAAGATTGCTCATACAGTTGAATAGCATTTACAACCTTAAAGGTATATTATGTAAGATTTAGATAAAGAGCTGACCATTAATGTTTTTTTATAGCTCAAAAATATATAATGTAATTACTTCATTGTGAGTCAAGTTAACACTGTTTGAAGTTCTGACAAGATGTGTGCATTGTTGTAATCGTTCTAATCTAGTTAAAATCTCGAGTATCCGATGCCACCGAGACTTGATTATGGTCTTGTTTTGTTAATAAATGTCTAATTAATAATTTAGATAACATTTCAGGCCTAAAGAAAGACTTGCAATAGACAGATTTAGCTCTTGCATAATGTATGTTTAAAGATTCGAAGCGTCATTTGCCTTTTTGCTGGAATATGAAATTTCTCACGGTTTACACCACGCTAAATATGAATTCGGATTGATTATTCAACATTAGTTAAGAAAACAAAATCAAACTACCAACGCTAGATATAGACCCATCATGTTTCTCCGCTACCAATATAAGATGGCGGCGTCTTGTGCCACTCAAACAGCATATCATAACTTTGTAGATACTGAATGGAATGGCTGATATTCTTATTAGAGATCAACGTTTCACAATATTGTAGTTTACAAATGATTCATATAGCGCTAATTGCCGCATCGAGCCTTTAATGTAATTGATCTGTAATTATAACATACACGCAATAATTTTGTTTACATTTAACGGTTGCCATAGCATATACGTAATATTTATGTTTACATTTAACAGTGGTTATAGCATACACGTAATAATTATACTATTCAAAAAAAGTAGGGGATATTTGATTTTTAAGTGTTATTAAAGTCACCTAATGAAACTGACGAAGAAACAAATGACAAAATGAAATGAAGTTCACATTCATCGATGTATTCCAAATGATCGTTAGACTAAGTAAGGCACAGACTGACCATTATAAGGGTAAATACTATATACTATTCAAAAAAAGTAGGGGATATTTGATTTTTAAGTGTTATTAAAGTCACCTAATGAAACTGACGAAGAAACAAATGACAAAATGAAATGAAGTTCACATTCATCGATTTATTCCAAATGATCCTTAGACTAAGTAAGGCACAGACTGACCATTATAAGGGTAAAATGATACCCGGGGTCAAACAGCAAAGTTACCACAGCATCACAACCAAGTCAGTAACGGGTAAATCCTCCTCTGTTTGCCAAACAAGCATTGATCCGACGTGGCATACTCCTAATGAGACGTCTAAGGTCATTTTGGTCCAGATTGTCCCATTCCTGTTGCAACGCAGCAGCAAGTTCTTGGACATTGGCAGGACGTTGTTGACGTTGACGTAACCTCTGTCCAAGCATGTCCCAGACATGCTCGATGGGGGAGAGGTCGGGACTCAGTGCTGGCCAAGGTAATGTGGTGATGTTCTGTTGTTGGAGGTAACCTGTAACGATCCTGGCCCTGTGACATCTTGCGTTGTCATCCTGGAAGATGAAACGGCGGTCATGACGTCGTGCGAACGGCACAACATGGACTGCCAAGATGTTGTCCCGGTAGTACTGGCCTGTAACACGCCCTGCAACAACATGTAAAGCCGTTCTTCCAGCAACAGTGATGCCTAACCACACCATAACAGAACCACCCCCAAATCGATCATGTCTGATGACGTTAACGTCTTGGAAGCGCTCGTTTCGACGACGCCACACCCTCCTACGTCTGTCCAAAAAATCAACAGTGAACCTTGACTCATCTGAAAACATCACATTGCTCCAGCGTCGATTATCCCAGTGTTGACGATCCCTACACCAACGACGTCTTGCCTGAATGTGATGATCTCTCAAACAAGGGATCACGCGAGGACGTCGGGCGCGAAGGTGACCCCTATGCAGTCGATTCCGAATCGTCTGGCCACTCACTCTCACACCAGTGTCTGTTTGAAGTCGAGCGCTGATCTGATTTGCTGTGATGACACGATTTCTCAAGGCCAAGGTACGGATAAATCGATCCTGGGCTTGAGTTGTCGCCCTTGGTCGACCTGAGCGTGGTCTGTCCTGTACAGATTGTGTATCACGGTATCTGGACCATAGCCTGCTTATGACAGACTGAGAAACATTCATCGTCCGCGCCACAACCGCCTGTGTTGTGCCGATCTGTAGCATGCCAAGGGCACGTAACCTTTCATTTTGGGTAAGCCGACGCATATCAAAATTTGTTTTCTGGTCACTAAAACAATTAAACTGATGTTTCCACCCTGGAATTCAATGCCACAATGACTGTAACATTCAAAGTCAGAGTCGTGCAAATCTTGGGTTGGACCCCCATGATGATCCCAAGCATAACCTGCATTCCATGCGGTAGCTATTGGTGCGTTTGGGCGTCACATGTAACTGGAAATGTTTCTTCTGTTAGGTTCTATAGTGACTTTTTTCGTATTCATTTGCATATTTTAGTATTATGCCCCCAAAATCAAATATCCCCTACTTTTTTTGAATAGTATATATTTAAATTTTCCTGTGGTTATAGCATAAACATAATAATTATGTTTACATTTAACAGTGGTTATAGCATACACGTAATAATTATGATACTTATGTTTACATTTAACAGTGGTTATAGCATACACGTAATAATTGTAATACTTATGTTTACATTTAACATTGGTTATAGCATACACGTAATAATTATAATACTTATGTTTACATTTAACTGTGGTTATGGCATACACATGATAATTATGTTTACATTTAATTGTGGTCATAAAATACACGTAACACTTATGTTTACATTTAACCGTCGTTATAGCATGCACGTCATAATTATGATTACATTTAACTGTGGTTATACCCTATACGCGTAATAATTATGCTTACATTTAACTGTAGTTATAACATGCAATATTGTGTAATATTTCGTGATCCTAGTTAAATTAGACGAAAAACTAAGAGAAAACTGATTTATTGTGACGAGGAAATAAATGCCCGGTCTTATCCGGTATTAGTTTTCTTTAATTTATGTGTATGGTATCACGATCCTCCTTTTGTCGTATGTTTATCGTAAAATGACCGGATCGCTCCCGGTATGCTGGCCGAGAAAGTTCAAAGGGCTTGGCAAGACATAGCGCTTAATCTTTCGGATGCTACGAGACGAAAAACCGAGGTCCCGTCTATATATTGGCGTGCACGTAAAATAACCCTTGGCAGTTGGAATTCGATATGATAATAGTCCGTAGCGCCGTGGCCAGGGCAAATTGTCCCTCGTAGAAAACTGTATAGTGTATTCCCGTCTTCATTAGCTCTGTCGCTACGGTACAGAAAATTGGACTTTAAACCCCATTTTCATTTTATTTAAGATTCGACAACAATGTCACTACACGTGAATAACGTCACTGACAATGAAATAATTCTACAATGTGAAGTAGATGGTCAACCGAATAACTACACATTTTCACCATGGAAGCATTTCTTGGATGGCGTATTGATACGAGAGGTCAACGGTTATCTGGAGAATGGGGATACTTCTATCTACTACCTCAACATCTCAACTCAGTTATATAAAAACAGAGGAGTTTATGTTTGTTCTGGAAATTACAGTAGAAATGGACAGATGTATAATCATACCACAAATATGACGATTTGTTCAACTGGTAATTTTTTCGAAAATCTTGTTTCCTCGCTAGGTGGAAGCGATCGCTCATAGTTTATGTAGCCAGTCATTGATATCTAAACGTGGATAGCGCATGCGCTTACTACGAGCCGTAAATTAATATTGAGGGTCTAGAATTATTCCGACAATCTTGTCCTGTCTAAGTGGAAGTGGATGTACATATTTCTTAGTTAATTTGTTTGTTTGCAATGTATACGAATATAATCAGGGATCAGGGGCGGACTGGGGGAGGTTCCAGTCTGAGGGGTTGGGGTGTAAATGGTGCTTTCTAGGGTATATCCTTATGTTGCTAGCTCATGCACAAATTCACCGTATGGCAATCTTACCAATTCACCAAAAAACGTAGTTTCTAAAGGCTAAAAAAGCCACCACCATTCTAACACTGGGTTCCCATACTAGAACAATTAAGGCTCCCATACAAATACAGGGCCCACAAACTAAACACAGAGCCCCCATACTAAAACAGGGCCCGAAAACTAAGAAAATGCTCCCCATACTAAAATAGGACCATCATAATATATGAGAACATTAACTCTTTAGGGTCCCCGGAGTTTACCATACTCAAAGGCTGCTTCTTGCTCCACTCTATACAGGACGTTACGAAGACGGCGCAGCTCACAATTATATTGGCATTGTTGGTAATAATTTGTATTTTCAGCTTCAATCGAGTTCTATGTAACTGATACTGAAACAATGAACGAGACTGTCAGAGTGGGATCTGATTATAATATAAGTAAAATTTTTATCACCGGAAGGAACAGTAACATCACGTGGTTTAAAGGCAACAATGGTCTAGAACGATCCAGTCGTATTGGTATTAGAAGATTAGAAGTTAATATTCCTCACGACTACAACCAATCTGTGTTAATACCATACAGTCGAACATTGATAACAATTACACATGTACAGGTATCTGATGAAGGATGGTATCAATGTTTTATATGTAACCATGACGACTGTAGTAATTCATCCTTTCATCTTTTAGTTGAAGACGAAGACCCGGTTAAGGATACTGATAAAGGTAAACGTTTTAAACATTTTAAAACTTGGACATTCATGGAGTATAATATAATTTACTTATTATAAGTTTTATTTAAATAAATCTCATGGAGAGGGTGGGAGGCGAATGGATAGTGCGTGCGCGCTGTATCATAAGGTTTGTCATTGAGTCATCTGGCGTGGTTTCGATCCACCGGTCGTAAGTGACAAGGCTGTCTGTCCAACCTCGTGGGTTTTCTCTGGGTCATCCGGTTTCCACCCACTGCTGAAGATCCCTACGCGCATGCATATTATTGAAATAAAATTTATCAATATGTTAGTCCCGAAATGACCTAGTTTGTGTCGAGTGGACGTTTGCCCCTCCTCTCTCTCTCTCTCTCTCTCTCTCTCTCTCTCTCTTTCTCTCGCAATCGTATAGAGTGGTATTATTGTCTGGACACTGGTGCGCTCTAACTAGTCCTTACCCTACCGTGGTTCCTGTGAATTAGTAATTCACCCTTTCATCTTTTAGTTGAAGCTGAAGACTCGGTTAAAGATGCTGATAATGGTAAACATTTTAAAACTTAGAAATGAAATGGGGTTTAATGTCCTACTGTTCTGCTCCAACTGGGCTAATGAAGACGGGCAGACGCCATACAGTGTGCTACGAAGGACATTTTGCCGGGGCACCCGCGCTATGGCTTACTCTTATATCGAATTCCAACTGCCAGGGGATCTTTTACGTGGACGTCAATGTATACACGGGACCTCGGTTTCTAGTTCCATCCGAACGATTAGACAGCTTGTTAGGTCTTCCGTCCTGCACCACTGAAGGACACCACGTCGGAAAATCCCGATGTACTTTCTCGGTCAATGCAGGGATCGAACACGTGACCTCCAGGCTAACGAGCCAGCGCCTTATAACGCACTTAGCCATGTTGGCTCCATTAAAACTTAGACTTTAATGGATTATTATTTATAGATTTATAAGTATTATTTGTATGAATATCTGTGCAATGTCATGGAGTTGGTAATATGGGCCGGACACTGGCGCTCTCTCTCTAAATGCCAAATGATATTTACTGTGACCTACCAATTTGTAGACGAGAGCTCGGGTTTGAACGGACCCCTGTTTTAAACACCTATTCTAATTTTCAGGTTCCCCTGACAACAAGAGACAAGATATGTTTGTGTTTTTTGGAGCTGGTGGTGGCGCTGGTTTGTTTTTCATTATTGTGGTGATTATTATTGTTGTGTTTGTCAAAAGGCATCGCCGTAATCAAAAAGGTCAGATTTTTGCTAGTTTTTGTAATAAAAAGAAATTGGTTCAACTATATTAAAGTAAACAGTTTCATAATGTACTCGGGAACAGAGATTGAAAGTAAACAATGTGTCAAATTAACTCCGACGGGCAACATGTACCCAGGAACAGTGATTGAAAGTAAACAATGTGTCAAATTAACTCCGACAGGCAACTATTGATTTCAGACTTGTTTATATCCTAACATGATAATCGTAGAGTATGATGCATATGTCGTGCGCGATGCAGGGTATGCCTCTTTTTAAATACCTGATACTACTTTCACTGGTATGTATCGACATAGAATGTGATTGACAGTTTGGTACAATCATGTATTAATGTGAATATATGTATTGACGAGGCTCGTGTTCTTGTACGCTTCGTGATAGTCCCATCATGAAATGAAGAATATGATTGACCTACGAGTACAGTATTGTGAATGTATTTAATGGGGACGATCTTGTTCTTGTAGAAACGGTTCAGGGCGACCCGCCCCAACGTGAAATGGAGATTATGGAGAATGATTTATATATTAGTGGTGATACACCGACACCCCAACAGAACAACGTGGAGGTGGTTTACACTCCCGTAAACAAGATTACTCAACGAAGAGGTAAATTAAGTTTTATTATTAATCACCATCCTCCACCACTGTACAGGTCCTTTACAGTCCGATAAACAAGATCACTCAACGAAGAGGTAAATGTCGAACATCCTACCACCCCTCTCAAGCACACACACCGAATTATAATCAGAATGCCACACTATTATTAGCATTACAGAAATCCAGATATTTACCTTTCCAAAATTGAGTCGAGGCTGCAGTCATTGATATTTTAGTCCCCGTTATAACATACTTGATACTCAGGTTCAACGTTTCGTTATAACATACTTGATACTAAGGTTCAATATTTAAAATGTTCCACCGTACTTACTTTAAAGAAATTACTCCCCAAATAATTATTATTTGAAATGTCAATTACATGAAAATTAAACATCGACACACAAAACATGGTGTCAAGATATATTGGACAGCTCGATTCTGTCGCTGCCTTGGTACGATTGTCCGACATCATGTAGTTCGAACTATATTATTATTTTTTAGTTGTATTTTGTTGTCCCCTGGAGAGTTTATTTCATTTTCTTTTAATCAAGATTGTTTTGTTTGATTTATTTAAGATGCTTCCTCGAAACCAGAAATGGAAATAATGGAGAATGATTTATATATAAGCGCTGATTATGATACGTCACAGAATCAAAATGGTGGAAATGGAGTGGAGGCGAAACCAGAAATGGAAATAATGGAGAATGATTTATATATAAGCGCGGATTATGATACGTCACAGAATCAGACTGATGGAAACGGAGTGAAGACGAAACCAGAAATGGAAATAATGGAGAATGATTTGTATATAAGCGCTGATTATGATACATCAAAGAATCAAAATGGTGGAAACCAAGGCATGAAGAAACCAATAAAGAAAGGTATTGGCTCTTCAAAAATTAAAATCATATATTTTCGAAAGAAATAAAATGAGGGTTAACGTCCCACTGTTTTGCTCCTGTAGGGCTAATAAAACGGGGATATTTTTTTTATTTTCGAAAGAGTTTTTCTGTCATATAAATGTGACCAGGAGGTCTCGGGATTGTTCCCGGTCTTGGTCCTAAAAATTTCCACGGGGTTTTCCGGCGTTGTTTTCCCTTGTCAGTGGTGCAGGATGGAAGGCCTGAAAAAGAACAGTGTCTAATCGTTCGGATGGAACGAAAAACCGGGGCCCTGTGTAGACATTGGTGTGCACGTAAAAGAACCCTTGACATTTGGAATGAAGGGTAGGCCGACGTATTCGTACTGCTGTCCGGGCAAAATTTCCACAACCACACACTGTCTGGTGTATGCCCAGTCTGTATAGAACACAACAGGAGGACGTTAAACTCCAATTCAATTCACTTGAACGTGTCACACGCTCGCTTCACATTTGAATAGGGGGATCACGTGGCTAAGTGGGTAAGACGCTGGCGCACTAGCCTGGAGGTCGGGTGTTCGATCCCTGCATTGGCCGAGAAAGTTCATCCAGATTTTCCAGCGTGGTTTCCCCTTTTCAGTGATACAGGACGGAGGGCCTGACAAGGACAGCTGACTAGTCGTTCGGATGTGACGAAAGATCGAGGTCCCGTGTACACTTTGGCGTGCACGTAAAAGATCCCTTGGCAGTTGGATTTCGATATAAGAGTAGGCCGTAGTGCCGCTACCCGGGCAAAATTTCCCTCATAGTACACTGTATGGCGTATGCCGTCTTCATTAGCTCAGTTTAGGAGCAGAACAGTAGGACGTTAAATGCCATTTCATTCATTTCATTGCGTTCATTTGAATACAGGGGAGACAACTCTGTACACCAGCCCAAAGAAGTGGAAGGTGTTAACAATTCGCTGGTTATTGTAAAACTAACCGAGTCAGTAACCTGTTATTCGCTGGAGAGAAGATTTTAGCCTGGGCAGCACCGTCCCCGTCTACTCTTTATAGTTTCTATTATCAAGGGTAGTTTTTTTTTGTCAGGTCAATACCTTCACCTTTTTGGACATATTAATATGAATACATGGCGTGTTGTTTCTTATTATCACTGCAATGCATATTTCAGGAACCATTTTGAATTGAACATAAAAATGAATCTTTTACTTTGTTTTTTAAACATTTACCCATTCCCTCTAGCATTTAGGGAAGCATGGCAAGACGATAAATTTTAGATCCCCTGGGCATCATCACCTTATACATTGAGTTCCAACAACAGCCAAATTTACCACTGCATCAATGTTTGCTCCTGATGCATCCAATGCTTAAAGTTTCACTTGATATCAGCACTGAGATTTTAATCAAGAGGTCAGTAACTGTTAAGCGGTCAGTCACGATAATTCCCTTGGGTGACTGCTGTAGTAAAGAATTGACTCTACCTTTAAAGTGGACACATACCCGATTGGTAGTTTCTAGGGGTTACACTGAACATACAAAAAGAAAACATCTTTTACTTCGCTATTTAATTCATTGTATTTATATTTAAGCTTGTACCAAACTGACCAAGTGAAATAATATTAGTCCGGATGAATTACCAAACAGAGACTGACTATCAAGATTTTCTGAAGTAATTGCTTTGATTGAGGTTAGAAAACAGAGGCTGGCTATTTATTAAAAGAACGGCTTTGATTGAGGTTACAATAAACTGTTGAATGGCGTTGAACTCTATAGTTATTGCACGATAAAATTTTAATTTCTCTATACGAACTATTTTTAATGTCAACGGTTGAATACAATATAAGTATATCTTAAATTGTTTTTTAACTGGCGATCTAAAGATTTTAAAGGTACACGGACACCTACTTTTATCTAAATAAATACTTTTGTTACAGTGTATCTTTGTATATATTTTATTACTATTTAATTTTAGTCAAAAGTAGCAATCGACCAATGTCCGAATTGATATCTCGCTAATCTTTTATGTCTTAATGTAACGATATATATTACTTAATTATAGTTAACACGGGTTCTGGCTATTGTCCATATCATCTTCTGTATTTAAACATCTGGGACCTGTTTCACGAAATCTTAACTAAAGATAAAATCCAAATTTTAGTAGATACTACAATTTTGATTGGCTAAGCACTAAAATCAACCCAATGTTATCCAATCAAATTACTAAAATTTGGATTTTATCTTAGTTAAAATTTCGTGAAACAGGACCCTGGTTCTTATGTACAATTTAACATCTTATCAAATATTATTATATAATTATTTTAATCGTAAGCTTGTATATATGTTCTATATTCTACTGTAACTTTAGTCTGGTGACCGGCTCGCCCTAGCGTTATTGTGATCTTTAACCAGTTATGGACACTCGTTTATTAAAAGTCGTTAGTGTTGGAATAAGCTACAAACCCCAGAAAACAGCACTTTCATTATTTATGTTTATGTTATTTGGAGAAGGGGTGGATAAATTTATTTGTTTATTTCATATTTGAGGGGAGTACTAGTTGGGGGTGTGGGGTGTAATGTTTTACCTTATTTTTAGAATATGTTTCAGGCTGATTATTTATTACCCATGCTGTATATTTTAATATTTAATATTTATCTTGTTGTTTATTATATCTTTTTTTATTGTAGATTTTATTTTATATATTCTTTCCTAAATTATGAATTTCAACTCAAACCTCCATCTTTTATCATTAGAGGTTTATTTTATTGAAATGTTCTCTAAATGTACAAGTTCCTTGTAAAATAGGGGTTTTGATTAAATATAATTTTAGGGTTTTCTGTTTGATGAGTGGGGCGATTTATCAATTTTTGTATAATATTTTTTTTAAATAAAGAATTGCTTATCATTAGAGGTCGTTTTATATGGCGGGGCATCAGGTTCAAAATGCGATCTGCAGTAGAAAGTAGAAAATAAAAAGCAAAAGAGAAAATTCTTATCCAAAATGGACCTTTTCGTGTGGGAAACATATACCGCTCGTGCCTTAAATATGCAAGTTCCTTAAGAAACAAAAAAAAAGCCAAAACACCTATACGTTCATTATAAATGATGGCTGGTTTACGATTAACTAATTAAAACCCTGTTTCTTAAGTAGAGATAGAAATTGGGTTTAACATTCACTCGACACAAAATAGGTCATTTTGGGACTAACATGTGGTTCAGTTTTATCGCAATAACTCGTTTGCGCGTAGGGGTCTTTAGCAGTGGGAGGAAACCGGAGCAGCCGGAGAAAACCCACGAGGTTGGACAAGCGACCCTACTCCTTGTCACGTACAACCGGGGAATCGAAACCACGGCAGTTGACTCAGTGACCGACCTTATGATACAACGCGCACGCTCAAAACATTCGGCCATCCACCCCCACCCCCGCAATAGAGAAACAGAGATCACGTGTCGTATATATGAAACGCGCTTCTTCACATACATCCCAGATACGTGATCTAACGGGAAACGAATCCATGTTATAGTCGTGGACTACTGAAAATAAATCTCATTTTAATCGACAAATACAAGACAAATATAGATAAATCTATATATATATTATTTCCGCTGATATCACCTCTGTGGCCTTAGGGCAAATATAAGAATATCATATTTCAAAGGACAGTCTATTGCCGTGGGGAACAGCAACTCATTTCTAAAACAATATGAACAAAAAAAATGCGATCGGTCACGGTCCTATTGATTGTTAACTAATTTCTTTCCGTCACGTCCACCGAAACGATGACAACATGGCGGACTGTTGGTAACTAGTGATTATCCAATTGTCAAATGAAAATGGGTTGAAATGAAATGAAATGAAATCGAGGATAAAGTTATACTGCCAATTGTAAAATGAAAATGAGTTGAAATGAAATCGAGTATAAAAGGTATACTGTATAAAATGCCTTTTTGTGACTGAAATAAAATTAGATTTAATGTTTGACTTTTCTGTACCAATCAAAATAATCGATGCGGACATATGCGATGAGGGAGTTGGCTATGAGGGAGTATGCTATGAGGGAGTTGGCTATGAGGGAGTATGCTATGAGGGAGTATGCTATAAGGGAGTTGGCTATGAGGGAGTATGCTATGAGGGAGTTGGCTATGAGGGAGTATGCGATGAGGGAGTTGGCTATGAGGGAGTTGGCTATGAGGCAGTATGCTATGAGGGAGTTGGCTATGAGGGAGTATGCTATGAGGGAGTATGCTATAAGGGAGTTGGCTATGAGGGAGTATGCTATGAGGGAGTTGGCTATGAGGGAGTTGGCTATGAGGGAGTATGGTATGAGGGAGTATGGTATGAGGGAGTATGCGATGAGGGAGTTGGCTATGAGGGAGTATGCTATGAGGGAGTTGGCTATGAGGGAGTATGGTATGAGGGAGTATGGTATGAGGGAGTATGCTATGAGGGAGTTGGCTATGAGGGAGTATGCTACGAGGGAGTATGCTACGAGGGAGTATGCTACGAGGGAGTATGCTACGAGGAAGTATGGTATGAGGGAGTTGGCTACGAGGGAGTTGGCTATGAGGGAGTTGGCTATGAGGGAGTATGCTACGAGGGAGTATGGTATGAGGGAGTTGGCTATGAGGGAGTTGGCTATATCGGAGTATGCAATGAGAGAGTTGGCATTGAGGGAGTTTGCTAAGATAGCTTCTATCATCTTCTTATATTGTTGTCTCTGTGCACGCCACTTTAATAGGTTCTGCTTTAACCTTTCATTTACTGTCGCAGCACGAACCCGCTGAAGATATACTGGCTTCTAATATTGTGATGTTTTAGCTTGTCTGGGTGCACACCACTTTAATAACTTCTACCATAATCTTCTTATAATATTGTGATGTTTAGCTTGTCTGGGCGCACACCACTTGAAAAACGTTTATCATAATCTTTCAATATTGTGATGTTTTAGGTTGTCTGGGCACACACCACTTTAATAACTTCTACCATAATCTTCTAATATTGTGAGGGTATTTTTCTGTATGACATTATAGTGAGTCAACATGAAGATCTTATTCGTCCAAAATATACGAATTAATTTGGAAATGAAATAAAATGGTATTTAGCGCCCTACTGTTCTGCTCCGAACTAGGCTATTGAAGACGGGCATACTCTTATATCGAATTACAACTGTCAAGGGATCTTTTACGTGCTATCCAATGTATACACGGACGACTAGACAACTTGTCAGGCCCCCCGTCCTGCATCACTGACAAGGGGGAACCACGAATTAATTTGGAAATGTAGAATACATTTAATGTAACGTTAGCTCTAATCGAAGATAGCCACGATTTTACTACATGTGTGGGGGAGGTGGAGAGACACACACACAAACTGAGTCATTTCGGGAATAACACATGGTTAAGTTTTATTTTCAGAATTCGCTTGCGCGTAGGGGTCTTTAGCAGTGGGAGGAAACCGGAGGACCCGGCGAAAACCCACAAGGTTGGACAGGCGACCCTACTCCTTGTCACGTACAACCAGGAAAATCTAAACCACGCCAGTGGGTGGGTATAACGTCTACTTAATAGAAACTAAGTCATTTAATGACTAACATATGGTTCAGTTTTAGTTCGTTAAGCAAGCGACCCTACTCCTAGTCATATATAAGCGTGGAATCTACACCACGCCACTTAACTATATGCCAGACATTATGATCTATAGCACATTAAATCCTGGGGTTTTGTCCAATAAATAACACGACGATGTGAATCAATTATCTGTAATATTAGTAGTTATTGGTGTTGATTATAATCTTTTAAAGATATCCTTGTTTACAAGTACTAATCATTGATTTACAACAACTAAATTATTTAAAATTGGGTACCCAGAGCAAATATATATCTATGTGACGTGGATTATAGATTTATATAATATTATAATTATTAATGTAATATAAATATAGAACCACCGTGACAGACATCCTTTGTAACCAACAGCCACAGTATCGTGTCAGACATGAACATCTTGTTTAAGAGCCTTCTTTCAATGGAATCTCTTTTATTCCTAAGTTCTCTGTCACTCGCCGTCCATGAACCCTTGAATATGGGTAGAATGTGTACAGATCCAAATTTATTTCAACGTATTTCTATAGGACAGATGTTACCCAATCATAAAATACAAAGTTTCACAGCTCCAGGATTAATGATCTGTGCTAGAGAATGTGTTTATCAGACCAACTGTTTATCTTTTAATTTTCATACTGAATCTGGACAATGTGAATTAACACGGGCCGTAGCTGGACCAAATCTACCTCTAGATTCAAAGCCTGGGTATCTATATGCTACAAAGTCAGACTGGATGACTGCTATAGCCGCGAATTGCCAGCACATTAACTGTCCACCCAATCATCGTTGTGTTCCGGAATCCAACGGAACTCATTGTGTCCTAAATGATTGTGGGATACCGCCAGCCATTGAGTTTGCTTCATACGTCGATTATAAAGAAACAATAATAGGAACTGAGCTTGGCTATACCTGCTCGCGACCCGGAATAAAAGCCCAGAACAAGTCGATGACCTGTACACCATATGGGTCGTGGGACAGGCAGCCGTGCAGGAAGATCTCGTCGTGTGCAGATGTCCAAAGATGCAATGTTACCACTGATGGTGAATATTGGTTATATCCCGAAGCATTTGGCAATGCTAACAAGGTGAAAATCTATTGTCATGGACTGACAACGTTAAATCCCAAGGAATATGTTTCCTTACCAAACGAAAATTATGTGCTGTATCCAAGAGCGGTAGTAAACTTGCCATTTTGTTTTCCTGATCATTCGGCGATCGTTGCTAACGCCGGACACGTGCGTTTTGAGAAGGTCAGGGTACATCCCGATAACATGACCATTGATGGAAAAGATTACCAATTTGCTAAGCTCATGTGGGGTAAATTTCAAGAGTATGGACACGCTGCCGACTGTGCGTCATATGCTAGTTGTAATAAGTATTTCGGTTTATTTAAAATTGACACGACAGGAACGGGTTTGGTAATAAACAGAACGGTTTCCTGGGTTCTTCATGGTAATAGAGCTGGGCAAACGTACTTCAACAGATCCAGCGACCATGTAATAACTGCCAAGTGTGGAGGCTTCTGCGGTGGATGTTTTCCCGATTCTAAGTTGAGTTTTGAGCTGGAATTCGGGACACCAACTGTCATTGGGTCAGCTTCTGACGCAATATGTTCAGGTATATTTTAGTATTCAGACACCTGCTCTATAGAATATGAAAATGATATGGGGTTGAACACCCTACTTGTTCCTTAAAGATGACATCTGATACTGTATTAATTTTACGACGTTAAAGAAAACAATAAAATGAAATATAATGAAATGGGGTTATAACGTTCTACTGTTCTGCCCTGGGTTAATAAAGACGGGCATGCGCCATTCTGTGTGCTATGAAATGAAATGAAATGAAATAGGGTTTGACGTCCTACTTTTCTGCACCGATTCGGCTAATGGAGACGGACGTGCACCATACAGTGTGATATAAGTGAAATTCGATTTATTATTGAGAACATTATATTTTATGTATGGGTTCAATCCTTGTTATTTTTGTATAAACAATATCTTATTTCAATTGGGTGAAAACGCACCAGGGAACAGGCATAGCCGATATCATCCCATATTCACACCTTATTTTCGAAAATGTTATATGTTATTTATGGGTTCACTTTATTTTCGAAGACGTTATAAGTTATTTGTGGTTTCACTTTATTGCCGAAGACTTTATAAGTTATGTATCGGTTCACTTTATTGCCGAAGACGTTATATGTTATTTATGGGTTCACTTTATTGTCGAAGACGTTATTTGTTATTTATGGGTTCACTTTATTGTCGAAGACGTTATTTGTTATTTATGGGTTCAC